CGGGGACCTGGGGGCGACACTGCCCCTGCGGCCCCCGAGGTGGCCGTGTGGGAGCCCAGAGCGACCGCGAGGCCCCGGCGTGATGGTGACGGACCCCAGGTGACACTCTGGGACCCTGAGGTGGTGGTGGGGGGACCTCAGGTGACACTCTGGGACCCTGAGGTGATGGGGGAACGCTGAGGTGATGGGGGGGACCCCAAGTGACACTCTGGGACACCCGAGGTGCCTATGTGGGGTCCCGAGGACAGTGTAGGGCCCCGTTGTGCTTCTGTGTGTGACTGTGTGTGACCCCAGAACAACTGTGAGGCCCCATGGTGATGATGTAGGACTCCAGGTGACACTGTGGCACCATCATGTAATACGGTGGGGTCGCAGGGTGACACTGTGGGACCCCAAGGTCACAGCTTAGGACCCCTGGTGAAGTGCGAGCTCCTGGGTGACTGTGCGGGACCCCAGGGTGAAACTGTGGGGCCCTGGGCTGAATGTGTGGGACCTCCGGGTGCTGGTGGAGACCCCAGGATGTGGGACCCCAGGTGACAGCGTGGGACCCCAGGGAAGGACCCCAGTGCGGGACCCCAGCGTGGGACCCCGCTTGGGGTTGGGTGCGGAGGGTTCCGTGAGAGCGCGGCTGGGCACGGGAGGCCGCCGCGGCGCTGGCGGGGCGCGATCGCGCACGTCACGTTAATTACGCGGCCTCGTCTCCAGCATAATTGCGCTTAGCAGGTCACTAGGTAATTAATGACTTTTTGCTGTGCCTGACACAGCTGCGGGCAGGTGCCGGGCTGGGGGAAGGGCAGGGGGGAGGTTTTGAAGCCTCATGGTCAGCAGTGAGGGGAACTGCAGCTCTTACCTCTCTCTTGGCTTTCATTGCCCCCAGCTTAAAAACCAGAACTACATCTTATCCCTCTCTATTTTAATATATATATCTTTATGTCATGCTAATACACGATTATTTTTTTCCCATCAGGCAGCCCCATTTGGTGTAGAATCTGGGCTTGTAGCTCTCCTGAAAAAAAAAACAGATTACACAGCCCTGGAAACATCTTTGCTCTGGAGCACCTTGATGCAAGGGACACCAGCCCCGGCTCAGACTGCACTTAGGTCCCTTCGCCCCGTGCGGGCAGCAGGACGAGCGTGGATGCTCCAGCTGCAGCACCTCGGTGCCCTCCCCAGCGCGGAGCAGACTCGCAGAGCCCAGGGTGAGCGCTGCCTGCGTGACAGAAGTGTGTCACACGTGCCTCGGTGTCAAAGCATGCACACAGGTATTTATGGAATACCTAATGCGTGCTGCTCTCACACCCTGTCTTACCTCATCTCCGTGCGGTCGTACCAGTTAGCCTGGCTCCCCAAAGGTATTTTGCTCCTTGCCCCCGCTGAGAAACGTCTTAGTCTTTATAATGACACAGCAGCTGAGCTTCCAGTATGACAACGTGACTCCAGAAGCTGCAACTTAAGGGAAAAAAAAAAAAGGAAAAGAAACAAAATGTGCACAATCAGATGATGAGTGTTTGTATTACTGATGCTTTGAGGCTGGCTCACAGCCCTCCCTCCACATAATATTCAGGATGTTTGGGAAAGGGTATTTATTTCTTTTAATAGGACGGAGTAGTCACAAAGCTTTAAAGAAATAAATTAGTGCATCGTCCATGGTAATAGCAACGTGCTACGGACGGGACACAGTGACAAATTTCAGGCTATTTTTACGCTTGCCTGGCAGCATGTAGGTCTGGACAGGAGTCCCTCACCCTCTGCTGTTCTGAAGCTCTGACCATGGCTGGTGCCTCTGTCCCAGCTGCTCATCGGAATTGTTTTTGCTCCACAATGAACCCTATGGGAAGCCCGAGGAGCCTGGAGCTGTTTTGAAGATTGTGCAAGGATGCTTGGAAGCCACCCTGCTTTTGGTTGAGCGCTCTCCTCGCTCGCGCCTTCCCCAGAATGCGCCAGGGAGGCAGAACGAACCGAATCAGACAGCCCTGCTAATTGGACTTGAATCCTCCGCATGCCCGTGGGGAAAGGTGGGTGCCTCTCAGATAAGCAATCTAATCAGCTTTGTGCTTGTGTCCCATCTGGAAACAGATTTGTTGCTGAAGTACCTCGGAGAAGCCAGCGAGATCTTTTTTTTTTTTTTTTTTTTTTCTTTTTTGAAGATAATTGTACCAACAAGATCGGAGAGCGTGAACTTGCCCGAGGTACCAAGATCTCTTTGTTTTTGTTCATCATTAATCCCTTCGGCGGAGCGCGCGCGCGCCGGGCTGCAGGCT